GCTCGGACGGAAAAACTTTGCTGGCAGAGAGAACATGGGGATCTTGGCGCTAGTAAAAGGCTGCTCAACCGAGGCGCGTTGTCTTCATTTGATACATGAGTGACAGGTTGAGTCATCTGCCTTCCCTGCCAGGCATGAAGACCATGAACTATGGAATTACAGCAGTGGGCTGACCCCACAGCAGTGGCTAAGGGAGCTGGATCCCACATGACCAGCCATGGTTTGAATTTCGCCCTGGCAGCTTGAAAAGCACACCATGTGCACGTGCATAAGTGCCCCAAGTCCTAATTGGATGGAGGAAAAAGGATTGTGGCAGCATAATCATACCCCCTTGAAGGGTTCTGTTCCTTCCCCTGGAGAGTACACACTCCCTCTAGCAATAAAATTAAAACATAAAATAGAAATTATAATAGTAATGTCCCCTCTTTGTAAAATACTTCCCATGTACTAGGTACTGTGCTCAGTGTTTTACGTACTTTAACTCTAATATGAATCACAGTGTGTGAGGCAGGTTCTGTTATTCACTGAGGGGAAATTCTAGGCTAGGAAAATCGTAGTGAGTGGCAAGAATCATTTAGCTAGTGAGGAGCCAGATTGAAGACCATAGCAGTGTGAGCTTCAGAAACCAACCATAACCTACGATGTCATGGCATTGGACACACCGTGTCATTTTGGAGATGTTTAGGACACGTGCACTCACCAGAAAGACAGAGAGAGACAGAGAGACAGAAAGTGAGAAATCAACCCCCAGGGGGGATGGCCACGCCACAATCCCTTCTCCTCCATTCTCCTCTCGGGATCTTGGACATGCACACACATGCAAGTCATGTGAGTTTAAGTCACCAGGTCCAGGACTTGAGCCATGGTTGACTACATGAGAGTCCAGCAACATAGCCATTACGACAACTGCTGGTCCCTCTCTGCATTTATTCCTTTAGCCAGTAATTTTAAAAGTGCCTCCTGATGGGGCTGTTCTGAGTACTATGCAGAATAATGCACACAAATGCTGACAGCTGGGCCTAGCACATAGTAGGCTTGCAGGATTGATAGTATGGTGAATTTTCTCTACCACTGTCACTTGACAGCTGCATGCCTGATTTTTCTAGAGCATTTTTACATCCCCTTAAATAGACGAATTTGAATCTGATGAGATGAGGTGACAATATAGACTCTAATTCTGATATAACCACCCACACTGGACTGTATGTTATATAAGAGTGTGTGATATTGAAAGGATGTAATGGCCATGCGTGTATGTGTTCAGAAACCTCAAAAAAATAGGATCCAATTACAAGTTTATTTTGGTGCAAAGAGCTCCTAAAATCTACGCAGTTTTTTATAATGCATGTTTTCCACAAACTTTTTGAAGACTCCCCTCCTTAAACATTTATATGTATATCTTCTTGTTGCTGTTTCAAATTACATACTTAAATTACTGTTAACTTTGACCTGCTGAATTTTTTTCTAAGTCTCTATTTTAGGTTTCTTTGGGGAAAAAAATCTGTGATAATTCAGAAAATATTTGAACATTCTTTCAAAATTGATGTATAGGATGTCGAAATGGAGCCAGATAAAAGAAATACAATCACTATTTTAAAAAATCTTTCTAATTCATCAGTCATAGTACTGATCCCACAGCCCCCATGTAATCTTGAAGTTGGTAGATTCTTCGTAATGTTTGAACCCACCAGAGGCTGAATCCCAGTGCTCTGCAATATTGCAGCACATTTTTACTTGTGGTATGACATGCACATAAGTATTTCTATAATTTAGAGTACGCCCGTAGTTTCCTAGTACAAGTTCTGTGATGAGAGTGGTCGAATTTTAATCTACTCCACTACTTATGAGCATGTTAGTCGAATTCTGTGCACTTTATAAAACGGAGATAGTAGTCACCTAAAAAGTTAAGGTTATTGTGTGAGTTTATATGCCTGACATGTAGCAATCCTCAATCAATATTAGCTGTCATTGGGGCCAGCCAGGGACATAATGGTTAAGGCACTGGACTCCCACCTGGGCAACACGGTTTGTGTCCTGGACCTAGTGCCTTGAAATTCACATGGGGTGTGTGTACGTGAGTATCCAAAATCCTGAGAGGAACATGGAGGAGAAAGAATTGTGGCATGACCACCCCCTCTGGGGGATGATTTCTCACTTTGCCTTTCTCTCTCTCTCTCTGTGTCTCCAGTGAGCACACATATGCCTTACAGCAAAAATCTCTCTTAAAAAAAAAAAAAAAAAAGCTTTTACAGCTATTACCAAAGTTGCCCTTATCCTTAGATCACATTGAGAAAATAGGTTATTTAAAAAGAGCAGTAAGTATAAAGACAAACTCCTATGTTTGATCTTAATAGAAAATAGTTTATTTAAAAAGTACTGTAACTATAAAGACAAACTCCTATGTTTGATCTTAATAGTCAGTTAATATCTCAAAATTATGCTCCTAATCATGAAAATAGAAATACTAGTTATCCTGACTGTCTCATTGGGTTGTTTTGAGTATGTAATGAGATGCCATTGATGAAGGTGGTGTGAGAATACCAAGTGGTGTGTAAACATAATTTATTTAAAAAGTACTGTAACTATAAAGACAAACTCCTATGTTTGATCTTAATAGTCAGTTAATATCTCAAAATTATGCTCCTAATCATGAAAATAGAAATACTAGTTATCCTGACTGTCTCATTGGGTTGTTTTGAGTATGTAATGAGATGCCATTGATGAAGGTGGTGTGAGAATACCAAGTGGTGTGTAAACATAAAGTGATAATGACTTTATATCAAATAAATGAGAGAGGAGTGTTCTATGGGAGGGTGGAGCAGTCCATTCTGAGGGAAATAGAAGGCAATTTTCCTGAGGTCTTTGGTGTAGGAAGACAGGAATCTGGAACTTAGGCTGCAAATGAAATAAAACTGGTGAGGGATGAACAGGCCCAGCTACAGGGGTGTGCACTGCTGCATGCTGCTCCTCGGCAAGCTGAGGCCATTCGAGAGTCCCAGGTTTGATTCCTGGCTTAGCCTAAAAGTCAGATGTGGTGGCAGCACAGGCCTCATGTTTCAGCTTCTAGGAGGACTGAGGCAGGAAGATCCAACACAGGAAGACTCATTCTTAAAAAGCGGAGGGTTGGGGGCAGCCTGCGACCTGGTGGGTCGAGGTAGCTGGATTTCTTATGTGTGAGTGCATATCCAGACCCCAACAAGGTGGAGAAAAAACGGGAAGGACTGTGGTGTGACTATGCCCTACCGAGGGGTGCTATTTCCCTCTCTCCTTCTGTCTCTGATGAGTGTACATGTCCTCTGGCCAAAAAAAAAAGATGAATTTACTGATATGAGAGGTTTCTGTTTGACACCTACTTAGGGAATATAAAATGTTTTTCCTAAACAAGCATGGTGAAGATAACAAACATTATAGTTTATAATGGGGAATTTCATATTTTCTGTATAGCAGAAAATCCAATCTTAAATGTCTACTGGCACTTTCTCTAATCAGATGTTGTATGATATGTATGTTATTGTGAAGTTTTCACTAGTTCAGAGATGGGTCAGTTAGCTTGGCATTTACTGAAAGCCCTGAGAACTCCAGGCAAGTCAAGGAAATGCTGTGGGGGTAGAGGGGAGAAAGGCAATTGCCACAGACCGAGACAGAGAGAGAGGGAGAATGTCGACATTTGGCATTTGCTGTTTTCTAGCCAAAAAAAAAAGGCAGTAAAAAGCAACTTATAGTTGTCACATTTGAACACACAAAGTTAATTTTTTTTTTCAAAAAGCAATTTGTTTTATTGATAGTTTTTATTTTTACTTTTGTATATTTCTGAATAAAGCAAATTTCTTTTAATCTTTCCTGACAATCCTTCTGATCTGAAAATCTGAGCTGTCTGTCAGAAATCATTATATCAGCCATAATTGTGCAATGTGGTATTTTGCATTTATATTGACTCTTTCGATCAACAAACAAGAAGTAAATAAATAATAGAGTACGTTCAGGACTATTCTCATAGAATAGCAAAAGGAAATTATAGTTGAAGTCGAATGATTTTTCTTATTTTACAGAAGGCACTAGAGAAATTTAATACAAGCTTTAACAATGGAACTCCTGAGTCTGGATCTTGGCAAGGGGTTAGAATTGGGGGATGATGGAGTGTTTGCTGTATCATCCAGGTCAATATGCCCATGTGCAGATGAGAAAATGGAGCCACCCAATGGTCTAGTCTAATGTTCTCTTCTTGAAGTGTCATTTCTGATGTATCAGTGTTACCTAGAAATATATTAGACATGAAAATTCTTGAGGCCTACTCCCAAACTGACCGAAACTCTGGAATGGAGCCCAGCAATCTGTATTTTAACAAACCGTCCACGTGATTCTGACATGCGCTATTGTCTTGAGAACCTCGGGATGAGATTTTTTTTTTTTTTTTTTTTTTTTTGTGAGATTTTTTTTTTTTTTTTCTTTTTTGTGT